CCGGTAACCGTTGTATTTTTGCAGTAAACAATCTATTAAGAAGCAAAAACATATCTAGAAGGGCTAAGATAAGAATATATATGACAGTAATAAGACCTATTGTATTATATGCCAGTGAAACATGGACAATGAACAAATCCGAGCAAGTCTTGCTGCAAGTCTGGGAACGAAAAGTCCTCAGGAAAAAAATATCGTAGGGATCATAAAGTCACAAAGACTGAGATGGTTGGGACACATCCAAAGGATGGGAAACACGAGACTGCTAAAAAGAATGCTAATGGGAGGAATAGGAGGGAAAAGGAAGAAAGGCAGACCGAAAACCATGGAAGAAGGATGTTGAAAAAGACATAGAAAAACTTAAAATACCAAACTGGAAAAATAAAGCAACAAACAGAAAAGAATGAAAAAGAAAAGTAAATCAAGCCATGGGCCTTCTAGGCCTGGAGAGCTAAATTATATATATATATATATATATATATATATATATATATATAATATATATATATATATATATATATATATAATAAAGACAGATGCCAGGAATAATAAATGGGAAACTTTATATAAAAGTATTACTAATGCTCATAATAGTCACTATTACTCAATTCATCCAACTCTGCCCAACAGCATTCCTCACCTAATCTTTTTTCCTTCCAAACCACCTTCTTCTTCTAGTGCCATCTCCACTAATAAAGGTTGGCTCTAACCATTGCAAATTCGTCTCTATCTTCTGTTTTTCTTAAGAGCGTCTGTGTGTTTAACCCGCTCCAGTCGCGAATGTTTTTCAGCCAGGATTTTTGTCGTCTACCAGGACCCCTTTTCCTTCGATTTTACCCTTCATAATCAGCTGCAACAACTCGTCCCTATTATTTCTAAGTATGTGCCCCAAATATGCTGTCTTTTGACTTTTAATGGTGGTCAAAAATTCTCTGTTTCTTCTCATTCTGTGCAACAACATATCGTTCGTAACATGATCGGTCCATGGTATCTTCAAAATTTTCCTAAAAAGTCACATCTCAAAAGCTTCCAGTTTTCTCATTAAGTCAACATTAACAGTCCAGGTTTCGATACCATAAAGAAGAATATTTTACCGTCTGATATCGGATTTGCAGATTGAGTCTTTGGTTACTCAGAAATTTCCTTATCTTCAAAAAAGCTGCTCTTGATTGCTCTATTCTTGAACGAATTTCTGATTTCGGATTCAGATCTTCCGTAATCCAGACTCCTTAGTATTTCATTTTGTCCACTTGCTCAATATCTTCATTTTTTTATCTGGATCCTTGTAATGACATTGTCCCTCTTACTAATAACCATGGTTTTTGTTTTCTTTGTGTTAATTGTTAAACCAAACTATTCCCCAGTATCACAAATTGTGTTTAGTAACGTCTGCAGATCTGTCTCAGCGATAATGACTGTATCGTCAGCATAACAAATGTTATTTATATTTTCACTATTTATCTTGATCCCTTCTGTACAGTTTTCAAGTGTTTGCGTAAATAACTGTTCGAAATATATATTAAATAGTAATGGTAAAAGTACACAGCCTTGTCTCACTCCTCTACTTATCTGTTGCGCATCCGTGCTATTTCCATCTAATGTTACCACAGCCTGTTAATTCCAATAGAGACTTCTCACTATGTCAATGTCATTTTTGTCGAGTCTTTTTGTCTTTAGACATTTTATGAGAATGTTATGTTTAACTTTGTCAGAAGCTTTCTTATAGTCTATAAACGCAACGAAAACACCTTTTTGTTGGTCTCGACATTTTTGGGCGAGAGTTGCGAAACTATACAGAGCTTCCACTGTTCCGAAGCCGTTACGAAAGCCAAACTGTCTATTACTCATATCCGCTTCGCACTTTCTGAATACTCTTGCGTGTATAATATTTAAATTATACACGCAAGATTATAAATTCATGATTTCCAGTATTTTTTGAGTCATCCAAGCTTTTTGGCATTCTGGTTTTTTTTTTAGAGTTTCTTTCTGTGTTTTTATAACGGAATCTTTAATTTTGCACCACATAATGTTCACATTCTTAGTGTTTTTTATTTTTGATGTTAATTTCTTTATTTCTTGATTCGCCATATCCAGACGCCAATCCAAACCATATGCTTCCACTATTACTCAAATTAAAATTCATCATGGTTGCTTTCCAGCCCATATATTTAAAATGAAAGTATTTTAAAGCCAACTATTACCGAAATTAAAAAAGAGGCAGTTTTAAACGTATTAGATCGTTGGTAATGAAAAAGTTTAAATTCAGCGTTTTTTAGGCATATTTCAAATGCGTCATATTTTATCAAACTCAAAATCGAAATTTCGTGTTATAAATTTTAATGTTGATTTAGTTATCATATCTTATTACGTTCTACTCAGTGTCACCCAGTATAGTACCGCTTATCTTTTCACAACACCCGGTATTCCACCTTAATTTCAAACCGTTCAACGCAAACTACTTTTTTCGTTAATGCAGTACTAAATCATAAGCAGTGACACATAATAATATATCAAAAATTTGACAAAACTCATTACGAAATAAATCATCACATGAAAGGTAAAGATTGTATGTGCAAATTGTAAGACAAGAAAATATCGACATTAATTTTTTGTTGTTTCGTTTTACTTCGTTTATACAAGACGTTTTTCATCACGATAATAGCTAAGCATGAATATTAACCATTTATAGTAAAATATACTAAATGAAGTGTCAAATTAAGAGTCTAAATAATCGGTTCTGACATGTTCCACTCCGTGGTACTTTTTGTTTTCATCTACTGGTTTAGCTCTCTCTTTCCCTCCTTTTCTCTTACCGCTCTCGATTTCTCTATATCTCTCTCTCTCTCTCTCTCTTTGTCACATATCTATCCTGAGTTTATACTTTCTGTTCGGTTATTGTTGCTCACTGCCTTTTTCGTTACCAAAGTCTGTGTATTTTTTTTTCTGGACAACCACAACGTCGTCTACAACTGCAACAATAACGCCATTTAGCTATTTGTAAAATTTAGAGTCAAAGGACTAAACACGAAATACTTATACAGAAAAAGAATATCAGAGAAGATTACTGGTTGCTGGTATCTGTAGCTGTATCTGTAGAGTAGGGAGGACGAGTTAAGTTTCACAGCACTTAGGCCACAATTGACCCATTGTGCATTCTCCCAGGGAGCTGTCACCCTTAGCTCATTGTCCATCCTGCCATTTCTAGGAAGGTGGACAAGTCACCAGGAGACATCTCACTTATGTGGGCAGGTGTAGGCCAGGACTCGCCGAACGCATACTCTCGTATTAACGATAACTCTGGGCATTCACATAGGACATGCTCTACAGTTTCGTCTTCTCGTTCACACTTCCTACATAGAGGTGTATCTACTAGCCCCAGTGTGTGGAGGTGTTTGCTTAGTTGACAATGACCAGTTAAAAAACCAACTGCCAAACGTAGATTTTTCCTGGTCATTCCCAAGTACTTCTTTGGTGTTGACTCTTCAAGGTTACTTAGTGTTACCCTGGCAAGTTTACATCCTTTCCCTTCTTCCCATCTTTTTACAGTTTGCGTATGGGAGTGACATTTGACAATTTCCGCGATTGTTGTAGTTGACCAACCAAAAAGATCCCCAGGTCCTAAGAGTCTTAGGCCTGCCGCCTTCCTAGATAATTGGTTAGCAATGCGGTTGCCTTTATTCCTATTGTGTCCTTTAACCCACTTCATGATGATGGTATTACCATCCGAAGCTTGAGTTAGTGACTCGTGACACTCCATTACTAAACCTGATGTTTGTCCACGTTACACGTGGTCTATTCAAGGTTAGTAGCGCTTGTCTGCTATCTGTGCAGATCATTATAGTTTTCCCTGCTATACCTTTTTGGGTTATCTCTTTTGCGGCTATAGAAATACCAGTCAGTTCTGTCTGAACTACACTGGCATTTTTACCCATACCTCACTTTATTCTTAGGTTCAGTGATCTGGAGTATATCCCGCATCCTGAGCCTTCTTTCATTTTGGAGCCATCGGTGTATATGCAGTAGGCATTTGCCACGTTTGTCTCCATATACTGTCTTGTTTCAATTTTGTAGGGTTTGTTAAAGACGAACTTTGGTTCAATTGAGTCACAGCCTGCCTGTAGTACTGGTAACGCATCCAGCTCTCCCCGCCAGAAACGAGTTCTCAATTGTCCCATTCCTACATTAAGGTTTGCACCAGCTGAGCGCAGTCGCATCATTGTCACTAGAGCCACCTCTTTGACATATATATCTAGAGGCGTGATGCCAATGCGGGTAATTGCAACCTAGGTAAATTATTTATCAATATTATATCTTCCTCACCAGAGTCTTCGTCTGTTAGGACATCACATGCATTTATTGGAGACATCAAAGTAATACTATCTAGATTTGCTACTTTTCATCATCTTCTAACATACTAAGCGTATCCTCCAATATAAAGCCCCTAAAAATAAATAGTATGGCATTTTCCTGTCGTACAATATTTTGTACACTAAAATCAAATGGCCTAACTCTAGTTATAAAATAATAATTTATCCAATTTATAAATCTAAATTGAAATAAAATGTGTTTTCTACAAGAAAACACAAAAAGAATATTTTTTTTTGTATACATTATAACAAATATTTACTAAACAAATCGTATTCCGAATTCGGCCATGTTATAAAAACTGTAAACTTTATCACAACATTATCGCCAAATATTTTAAAGCCAGCAATTCACAACTACACTCTATAAATGATTACTATATACTGAAAGTATTTAGGCGGTTATCAAGAAATATAATCCTTATAGATAATCAAGTTAAAAGATATCTGTGGTGTACAATTTATTGTACGTCAGGCATATGTGAAAACCAATAAGACTTAAAACGTTTCCTTAGAGCGTGTCTGAAACGTTCTCATTACACAAGGTTAAAAAGAAATGATTAAAATTAAAGTGTACAGAAAATAAATTTATAAAATATGCAACTACTTAATCGTTTCAGAATAAAGAGTAAACCTCACCTGATGGGGTCGCAACTGTGGCTTTTCTCTGTCAAAGTTATCAAGTGGAGCGTTTTCTCCTCCGGGAATTCTTGATCCAGCATTGGACCTGTAAATAAATAATATTCTCATTACATTTCGTCACAGAAACATGTTGTCGAAGAAAATTTAAATGTTAAAACCGGACCGCTATCAAGACGATTTAAAATCCGGATTGTTTAGTATTTAAAATCGGTGTGAGTCCACTACAATGTAAAATTATGCGCATTAATCGATTTTTGAGCTTTTGTGATTGATACATTTGATTCCGATTAAAAAGATGTAAGATCGAAGATCAAATATGTTCGATTAATATTCAAAATGTGGTTGGATTGTAGTCCTATAAACCGTTTTTCTGGATTACACAGATAGACGAGTAAATATACCGGACGCAAAATATATTTTTTTAATATTGTACTACTAACTGTGATCTAAAGTGATCACTAAACATTAGACAAATATCTACCTAAAAACCAAGTTCAACAATTAAATCTTGTCACTATCGATAAAAAGCTTTAAGTTGTTCAAATTTAGGTTTATTAGTTTTAAAATACTCATCACTAATATAACATTCTAACAAAGTATCATCTGCAAATATATTCACAAAGTTACAATCAATATATAAATTTAAATAAATTATAAAGAGAAGCGGCTTAAGTACACTTCCCTGAGGGACACCAATGTTATAGTGTAGTCCCTCTAATATAACATCCTTTGATTTGCTTCTTTGGTTAAATTCATATATAGATCAAAAGAAAGAATGCAACACAACTGACTGAACAATTAGAAATAATAGAAAACATTTTAGAAGCAAAGATGTTAAAAATATATGCAGAACATTGGTTAATTAACCAAGAGTTGTATAAAGTTTTGCAGAAAAAAAAGTGGTTAATATTTGAAGGATAAAGCAGATGAATTAAACATATGAGAATCAAATTTTAAAGGCTCATAAAACGACATAGAATAAATAACAATTATAGAAACATAAAAAATAAAAAAAAAATCGAAAACAAATATTAAAAGACTCAATAGCATAATAATATATAAATAAAATAAAAATAATAATACAATAATATTATTAATAAAATATAATGTATATTTATATATCTGTTAGTTAAAATTGAGACAGGGTGACACAATATCACCGAAACTTTTCAATCAGGCTCTGGAAGATACTTTTAAAATATTAGAATGGAAAGAAAAAAATATAAAAATTTGTGGACAACGCTTAAACTATCTAAGGTACGCTTATGACATCGTACTGATAACCGATAAAAAAAAGAATTATTTATAATGATGAAAGAACTGGACGTAGAAACTGGAAAGATAGGCCTTAATATGAATTACAGCAATACCAAAACCATAAATACAGATGGAAGACATCACAATGAGAATCGGACAAACTATAAAACTTAACAAAGAAAACCAAACAGCAGAGATAAAAAAACGAGTTAGACTGGCATGGGCGATATTTGGCAATCTAAGCTACATTCTTAAAAACAAAAGATATCCACAGCATCTTAAGACCAAAGTATACAATCAATGCGTACTCCCTGTTCTTACTTATGGTTCCCAAACGTGGACATTTACAAAAGCAAACATGGACAATATCATAAAAACCCAAAGAGCAATGGAAAGATAAACGTTAAACATAAGACTAATGGATAAAAAGAGAAACGAGTGGATAAGAGAGAAAACAAAAGTGAGGGGATATCAAGAAGCACGTGGGCTCTGGGTGGATGACTGTAGCGACAGACAGAGAAGAATGGAAAAGGATTGGGGAGGCCTATGTCCAAAGATGGACCGAAGAAGGCTAATTAGATAGTTAGAATTGAAAGGGCGGAAGTCCATTTTCACTGTAAACGGAGGCATACAGCCCATAATACATAAAGGTAGTATCCATCGAATTGTGCTTAATAGGTGGTTGCCCTGGTATAAGATGGTAAAAATGTGTTTACAAGAAAATAATGAAGGTAAGTGAACTTTTTTCTGAGTACTGTGAAAATCTTCAAAATTTTTGTACTTATCCTTTCTACACATTAGTAACTTAAAGTAGGTACACAATTGTTGTGAAGTGTAATATCTTGCAGTGTCTTACCTACTTTTCCATGCTTGATAACAAGAGCTTAATGTTTAAAAAACTATTTAAGGAGTATCGCAATAATTGAAGCATTGTTATTGTTCAGACATTCCTGATGTTTACTCTACTTATGTGCCTGAATCTAATTTATCTACTGAACAAAACCGTAATTATGTTCTTAAGAACCATAAAACCTACTGCCATTTAAAGTCTTTTATGTTTAATGATGTTGCCAATGGAAATTTCTCCATGGATGAAGAAACTTAGAGTGAAAACATATTGCTAAATCTTCTTGTAGTAGATATTCTGACGTTGCCAATGAAAATTTCTATGTGGATAAAAAAATTGAGAGTGAAAACATATTTGATGAACTCTTTTGTACTTAACATTCTGATAACTCTGTGAATGACATAACATATGAACAAGATGATAGCAGTATCAGTGAAGATTGTGAGGAAAATACAACCATTACCTGTGTTCAAGAACATGATTACAGAAAGGTGCTTTCCAAAAAACTGAACATGGATAACAATATTGAAGTGAACGGGGCAGATAAATCAGAATTAGTTGTAAAGAAAACTAGAAAGAGAAAGCAGAAGCCTTTAATTTGGAAACGTAAGGTAACAAAGGAGAAGAGACGATAAGGAAAGGAATAGAGGGTTTTAAAAATAATTTGAAAAAAGCTAAAGAAGTAGGTCCCTCGTGCCATAGATTATGCAGGTTTAAATGCACTTCTAATATACAGGATAATAATAGAACGCAAATATTTAATAGTTTCTGGAAAAGCCAGACAGACCGGGACCATAGAAGACAATTTATTGCCCAAGCAGTTGATGTGAGTACTGTTAGCAGAAGACGTCCAAGAAATGACAATCAAAAGGAACGAAGGCTGCATTCTTACACTTATCACTCTCCTCTTAAACGGATCTAAAACAAGGGTGTGCAAGTTATTTTTTTTTAACTATACTTGCCATCTCTGAGAACATAGTCAGAAATTCAATAAAGAAGAAAATTAATGATGCGGCTGGGTTGGTAATCAGTCACTATGTACCTAACCAACAAATTTCAGACAAGACAATACAATTGGTTATAGAACACATAAATTGTTTTCCATAAATTGAAAGTCATTGTTGTGGCAATTGGTCTGGAAGAGAATATTTATATCCAAAATTAAACGTAACAATGATGTTCAAATTATATTTAGAGTGGATTAATGAGAGGGAGGGGATAATGGCAGTTATGGACATTTAATTTTACAGTCTATATTGATAGTATTGCCGAAGATTCATGCTGTATGTGTTTGCAAAAAAGGATGGAAACGAGATAGCTTCCGCTGTAAGAATGTGGTTATATAAAATTTACCTTCTACCTCCGTCAGACAAATGCTTTGGCCAAAAACGAAAGTTTTTTATTTTGTATGTATATGTGGACTATCCATAACACCTCAGTAGTTATAATTTATCATAAATATTTACTCAAAGGGCATATACACAACAAAGCAGACACAATACATGCACTGATTAAGAGGAAGAAGAAAAAACTGCCTACTGTGAGTATTCTTGTACCCCATAAATGGGCCCAGTTTATAAGAACCTGCAGTTCTTTAAAACGATTATTGTTTATGAGCTGAAAATAAGTGACATTTTCAACTTTGAAAAAAATCGACAAAGGATCGACAAGTCCGTTTATTAATAGAAAACAGAACACAGACAATGAACCCTTTCTATCTCCAAAAATGTACACTTCAAAGACGAAAAAGACCACCCTGGCATTATGTTTTATAAAACATTTAAAAACTGTCAATTTTAAGAGGAAAATGAGAAGTTCGCTCGCTAGGCTCCTACCAAAGATATTGGACCAAATAAATATTAAAAAATCAATTCCAATTGAGAGTTCAAAATAGAACCACCTAATGGAATAGGCTAGAATTGGTATCTTGATTTTAGAGGCATTTTAAATTATAGTGTGCAAATTAGGAGCACTAATTTTGATTTACTGCAAAACAAAGTGAAAGTCACTTCCATCCTTTCAATTCTAACAAACACATATTATATAATAAAAAACTAAAAAATAATCAACTGGTAGGGTTACGAAAATAATTGAAAAAATGAGTAGTAAGACTCGAGAATAAAGGAAAAAGACTAGAACACTTGTTAAAAAAACATAATATGAAGAAGCCTTATGAAGAAATGGGACACCCAATTATGTAAAATGAGATGTATGTAAAATAATATCTATAATTTTGTAGCGTTTTAAATTTTATAATACGTCCCTGTTCGTTTATCTCGTCAGTACGCATAAAGATTGCCATAAAATCTGTGTTTGTCTTTTACGAAAATCTTAAGTACGTAAATAACGCTGGATATATTTTTTGTCTATGTGTACTTTCAAATCCCATAACCTTTTGTTACAAAGTCAGGTAGAACTCCGGTTTAAAAACTACATGCTATTTTGTTAATTTGTATTATGTTATATCTATTTCGACAAGTTTTTTGTCGCCTAGAGGATTATATTTCATGATGCCCCCCTAATATAAAAAAGAGTTTTTATTTGTCTTTCGTCGTTAAAACGCAATAAACTGGAATATTAAAAAAGTTGTTTTGGTGGTTTAGAACGAGGGTCTGATTTTATTGTTTGTTTTAAGTCTATTGACGACAGGCTAGCTGCAAGACGGAAGGGAAATAATTTGGCTTTGAATTTGTAAAATGTAACGCAAATAAGAGTCGAAGAACAGATTTGAAACTGGGCAGACGTGTTACAATGTACGGTCTAAGAAAGATTTGAAACGGTGCAAACGTTTACGATGTATAGTGAAGCGACAGATTTGAAATGTAAAATGTGGGGCAATTTTTGAATCGAAGAGTCGATTCAATAGAAACTGGCAATTTTTGAAAAGTATGGTATAGAAAGACTAAGGTAACTTTTAATATATTCATTTTTCCAAGTTATATGGACATTATTAATAATTGGTTTCATTAATATTAAAGAAT